AAAAAAAAAGAAGAAAAAAAAAAAGAAAAAGAGGATATATTGAGAAAGTCTGGGTTATCAAGTTCAGTGTCAACTGGATGGCACACACCTATAATCTCAGCATTTGGAAGGTAAAGGCAGGAGGACTGCAGCAAGTTTGAGCCCAGCCTGGTCTATAGAGTGAATTCCAGGCCAGTCAAGGTTACACAGGAAAGACCTTGTTTATAAAACAAAACTAAACTAAGTAGAAAAACAAATAAACGCAATACCCACAGAAAAAGTTTGATGATTTGTGGTAACTAGTATTTATAAAGATAAAATTTTACCTCTTATTTCCAATCAGCATGATAACCATGTTGGAGCTCGAGTGCTGACGGGCATCCTCTAACCATGACGTCAGGTGGTTGAAGGTTTCACGTCTACAACATAGAAATTCAGAATGTTGGTCAGGAGCCTGTTTCAAAAAGGCAAAGCAGCTCCAAATATGAGAAAAGGTAGGCAACATGTATACACAAAAGAAACTGCCCCCACGTAGGTCATTAGCAGAACGGGTGAAAGAAAAGAAAAGCTTCAGAGATGTTAGGAAAGTTTCCCTCCCATTCCAGAGTGGGCTCACCTTGTAATGTCGTACACCAGCAGCGCTCCGGCTGCTCCCCTGTAGTAGGAGCGGGTGATAGAACGGAAGGATTCTTGTCCAGCCTTTACCGTCAACATGGCAACAAAAAATCCCAGTAAAACTAGGTTATTTCCAGAGAAGTGACTTGATCACATGCCACCCTAAAACAAAAGATTCAACTAAAGAAAGAATTTGTCTACATAAGAAAATTAGAGAAAAGTGGCTTGCTATCCCAATTAGCTTTTTTTTCGGTGCTGTAACACTGCCCAGAACCACCTTGGGGAGGAAAGGGTTTATTTGACCTTATAGCTAACAGTCCATCTTTGAGGGAAGTCAGGCACGAACTCAGGGCAGAAACCTGGGGGCAGGAGCTGAAGCATGGACCACAGAGGAACTCTGCTTGCTGGCTTGCTCCCCTGTCCTATGCTCAGCCTGCTTTCTTTTTCGTTGTTTTTTTTTTTGTTGTTGTTTTGGTTTGTTTGTTTTGGGTTTGTGTTTATTTTTTTCAGACAGGGTCTCCCTGTAGTCCCAATTGTCCTGGAACTCACTATGTAGACCAGGCTGGCCTTGAACTCACAAAGATCCGCCTGCCTCTGCCTCCCAAGTGCTGGGACTACAGGCGTGCGCCACCATGCCAGATTCAGCCTGCTTTCTTATACAACACAGGACCAGCTGCCCAAGGTCACCATCCACATTGGACTGGGCCCTCCCACATCATTCAATAATCAAGAAACTGCCTCAAAGACATGCCCACAGGTCAATCAGATAAAGGAAATTCCCCAATTGAAGTTCTCTCCTCCCAGGTGTGTCAAGATGACAACCAAAGCCAACCTTGACACCTGTCCAGGGAGAAGCCCAGGTAGAAGTCCCTATTTTCCAATAAAAATGTAACTGACATCTGAGGTCGGTCAATTACTACTCCTTATGAGACTGTCTGTCAATCTGCTACTTGTTCATCATCCTTAGATCCAAATGCTACTAAATGCCAACAGCATAGCACAGGCGACATGACACCAACAACCTTCATACCCATTTCCCACTGTCTCCTAGTACATTGGAAACAGGGCTGCGAATGCAGGGCAGGTTGTGTTTTCAATCCCAAATTTGTGAATTACACCATATTACTCTTTCTGTTCCTAGTCACTTATCTGCAAAAATGAAAATTATCTTAGAATGCTAATACTCTGTAGGGCCCAGGATAGTCTTCCTTAAAAGAACCCTATAGCCCCTGCTGACCTGGGACTGGTTATGTAGACCAGGCTGGTTTCAGTCTCACAGAGATCCACCTGCCTCTGCCTCCCCAATGCTGGGACTAAAGGTGTGCACCAACATACCTGGCTAATCTCATTTCTGACTGGACTAAAATGTTGTTTTACTTATAAATGAGCAACTAATTCCCCCATACAGTGGATACTTTAGTTTTCTTCCTTTATTGTTTTGAAAAGATTTACTTTTACTTCTATTTTATGAGTATGTACAAGTGTACCCCATGCACACAGATGCCCTTGGAGGCCAGATGATGATGCCAGATTCCCTGATCCTGGAGTCACAAGCAGTTGTGAGCTGCCTGTCATGGATGCTGGAGACAGGTCCTCTGGAAGAGCAGCAAACACTCTTAACCTCAGCCATCTCTCTAACTCCCTTAAATGATTTTGGGGCATAGCAATGATCAGGAATTATAAGAGACAAACACATTGTTTGTGTCTTTTAATCCTCTCAGGAGCCCTAAAGCAGAGTGCTATCATTATTCTCCTTTGAAAATGGGGGAAGAAGGCTCAAAGGGGGAAAGTTCAGTAACTGGCCCAAAACATAAAACAGTGCTGTAATTTGAACTTGGGATCTAGGGGTTAGAGAGATGGCTCAGCAGTTAAGAGCACTAGCTGCTCTAGCAGAGGACCTGGGTTTAGTTTCCAGCACCCATATGGCTGCTAACAACCCAGTTCTGGTGCTGGGATTAAAGCATGCCCCCATGCCCGGCCTAATATAGTTAAGATTTAAAAAATACTTTTGCGGCCAGGCGTGGTGGCACATGCCTTTAATACCAGCACTCAGGAGGCAGAGGCAGGTGGATCTCTGTGAGTTCAAGGCCAGCCTGGTCTTCATGTTGAATCCAGGACAGCTGGGGCTACAGGGAGACCCTGTCTCAAAAAGACTCTTCTATTTACTCCATAATAGTTCCATGACTTACATTTTTCTGGGCTCTGTTTTGCTTTTATCTCTTGCTTTTTTCCTCTTCTGCTAGCACTGAAAATCCTCATTAGGGTACAGTGCTCTCACCTGAATCCCAGGACTCGGGGGAGAATGGAAAGCTCTGGGCAGCCGAAAACACACAGTGAGAGGAGGAGAAAAGAAAAACATGGCCTGTGAGGAACTAAGGAACTAAAAGGCAAATTTGGGGGAGCCTATACTATGATTGAATGACATGACAGCATTTAACTTCACAACTGAAAATACTTCAAGTAGGTAATCAGAAATTTTTTTAAAAACGTATTTATTATTTTTACTTTATGTGTATGACCCTGCATGTGCTTAAGTACACCCATGTCATGCGATGCCTGTGGAAGCCAGAAGAGTGTCAGATCCCCTCGAACTGGAGTTACGGACAGTTTTTAGTTGCCATGTGGGTGCTGGGAACTGAACCTGGGTCCTCCACAAGAGCAGTCAGTGCTCTTAACCACCAAGCCATTTCTCCAGCCCCCAGCAATCAGAAACTTTTAAACATCAAAATCACTGTACTACATCTCAAGTCAAGTTCATGAACCAGTTTGTGAGCTAGGCATCTGAAAGACTGAGTGATTTAACTTAGATGTGTCTGTATCAACCATCCTTGTCCATCCTCAGTTTAAAAAACCTGACACAAGGGCTGGAGAGATGGCTCAAAGGACATGGATTCAGTTCCAGCACCCACATGATGGCTAACAACCATCTGTCACTCCAGTTCAAGGGATCGATGCCCTCTTCTGGCTTCCTCAGACATTACACACATGGGTACATTTACATACATGCAGGCCAAATACTCCTATCCATAAAATAAAATAAATAAAAATAAATCCAAAGCAGAAAATAGTAACTAACATGGACGTGTGTTGGTCTGGGTTTGTCTGCTGGTTGGTAGGTTTGTTGGTTTTTATGCGACAAGGTCTACCTACAGCTCCAACTGGCCCGAAACTTGCTTTGTAAACAAGCATGGCCTCAGTCTCATTGAAATCTGGCTGCCTGGCCTCCTGAATGCTGGAATTAAGGTGAAGCGTGTGTGCTATCACACCCAGATTTTGATTTTTGTTTTGTTTTTGTCTTTTTAAGACAGGGTCTCCCTGTAGCCCCAGCTGACCTGGAACTCACTATGTAGACCAGGCTGGCCTTGAATTTACAAAGATCTGCCTGCCTCTGCCTCCCACGTGCTGGGATTAAAGGCGTGAGCCACCGTGCCTGCCTGTTTTTGGTTTTTGCTTCAAGAAACAGAGTTTCACTCTATAGCCTTGGATAGCCTAGACGTAATGATGCAGCCTAGGCCACCCTAGATTGAACTCAAGGTGATTCTCCTGCTCCAGCCTTCTAAGTATTGGGATTATAGGTATAAGGGAGTCACCACATCAGGCTTAGCATGGAATTTTGATGAACAGAATGTACAACTTCTTAATTTCTCCCAAGTAAGAGCAGCCTATTATATTTTTAAGACATAGAGTTTAGGGCTGAGCATAGTAGCACAGGCCTTTAATTCCAGCGCTCAGGAGGCAGAGGCAGGTGGATCTCTGTAAGTTCGAGGCCAGCCTGGTCTACATAGTGAGTTCCAGGCCAGCTGGGGCTACTGGGAGACCCTGTCTCAAAAAGACCAAAACAACAACAACTACAACAACAAATATATATATAGTTTGAAATAGCACCCAAAGTCAGATACTGGTTGGTTTTTGTTTTTTAAATGTTTCTTTTTTTCAAGATTTTATTTTTATTTTATGTGTATGAGTGTTTTGTCTGCCTGTATGTATGTGCACCACATGTGTGCCTGGTGCCCACAGAGATCAGGAGTTGGAATCCCTTGGAACTGGAGTTTTAGATGGTCGTGAGCCACCATGTAGGTGCTGGGAACCAAATCCAGATCTGCAAGAGCAGCAAGTGCTCTTAACCATCGAACCATATCTCTAGGCCTCGTATATTTGTTTTGAAGAAAGGAGCTCACTATATAGCTCAGGTTGGCCTAGAACTTTATGTATTCCAGGTCAGTCTTGAGCCTACAATCTGTCTGTCTCCCAAGTGCTAGGATTATAGACATGAGTTACTTAGTTCAGGATACACTCTAGGAATCAAAATTAATTTCTTGGGGCCAGAAAGATGGCCAGTGGTTAAGAGCACTTACTGCTTTTCCAGAGGACCTGGGTTCAGTTCCCAGCACTCACATGGCAACTATCAACTCTCTGTAGCTGTAGTTCCAGGGGATCTGATGACCTTGTCTGGTTTCCTTGGGCACTACAAGACACACGTGCACTTCTATATGTGTATATATACATACACATTTCAAAAAGATCACAATAAATTCCAAAATAAAATACAGGGCTAGGGATATAGTTCAGCTGGTATAGTGCCTGTCTAGCATGTGAAGAACCTTGGGTTTGACCCCCAGCACCATATAAACTGGGTATGGTGGTACATGCCTATAATCCCAGCACTTAGGGGGTGGAGCTAAGAGACTCAGAACTTCAAGGTTATTCCTAGCCACACAGTGACTATAAGATCAGCCTGGGATAGAAGAGACTCTATCTCCAAAACAAAAATTAAAACAAAGCAAACAAAATAAAATACAAATTAATTTGGTATTATTTAATCAATTATTTTATTTTATTTTATTTTGGTCTTTTGAGACAAGGTCTCCCCTGGCTAGTCAAGGCAGCCAGCCCCAGCTGGTCTGGAACTCACTATGTAACCAGGCTGGCCTTGAATTCACAGAGAGTGGCCTGCCTCTGTCTCCAGAGTGCTGGGATTAAAGCTGTGCACTACCACGCCCAGCTATTTAACTAATATTTTATATTAGCTACTGTACAATGCTACCTCATTAGTATGGTTGAAAATTTATATACACATACACACACACACACACACACACACACACACACACACATGTATAAATATATAAAAGAATAAAAATATTACCAGGCTTGGTGGCTAGTATTATAAGTTAGTTCAAGGCCTGCCTGGGCTAAAGAATGAGCTTATGGCCAGAGAGGGTAACTGAGACTCTGTCTCAAAAGGTAAAAAGAGGAACTGGAGAGATGATGGCTCAGTGGCTAAGAGCTCTTGCTGCTCTTGCAGAGGACCTGAGTTTGGTTCCTAGCACCCATGTGGCAGACCACAACCTCCTATATAACTCCAGTTTCAGGGAAGCCAATGCCCTCTTCTGGCCTACCTGGGTGCTAGGCATACATGTGGTATGCACACATACATATATGTAGGCAAAACACTCATAGACATAAAATAAAATAAATGTTTAAAAAAAAAAAGTGAAGAGAAGGCTAGGTATAATTCAGAGTGCTTTCTTAGTACATGTGAGGCCTTAAGGTCAATCCCTAGTACCATCAAAACAAATAGTAAGCCGGGCGTGGTGGCTCACACTTTTAGTCCCAGCACTTGGGAGGCAGAAGCAGGTGGATCTCTGTGAGTTCAAGGCCAGTCTGGTCTACATAGTGAGTTCCAGGACATCTGGGGCTACAGGGAGGCCCTGTCTTAAAAAGACAAAACAAAACAAATAATAATAATAAAAAAAAAACCAGTAACATATTTCTCTATATCCTTTTAAACATGATTTCTTTAAAGTACTCATTGCTGGGCTTTGTGATAGACTACAAGAGCACCAGGCCCTGGGTCCAATCCATAGCAATCATAAAATAACACCCATTATAGTAATGCCTAGACATTTTTACATAGGATGGTTTGGGGAGTGAGGGAATGGGTCAGTAAAACACAAAGCGAAACTGCGCATGCAACAACAAGTTCTCAAGATTAACAAGGGAGAAATGATCAGTCTTACCTGGAAGACATTGTCTTCTGTGGCAGACATTTTTGAGACAAGGTCTCTCTGTAGTTGCAGCTGGCCTGGAACTTGCTATGTAGACCAGGCTGGCCTCGAACACACAGAGCTCCACCTGCCTCTGTCCCCTAAATGCTGGGACTAAAGGCAAGTGCCACCATGTCTGGCAAAACATGTTTCTTTTTATGATTCAGCAAAATTTAACCTAATCTCAAAATATTTTTTAGAGGGAAACAGAAATGAACTAGGCCACTTGGGTGGTCATGCAGTTTTCAAGGATCCTGTTCACATAATAGTAGCTCTAAACTTTCTTCATGATCCAACCACTTCTTCCTTGAGCACTTAAGGAAAAAAGGAAAATCCCAGGAAGCCAACACATGATCATGACAGTACTACTAATGGAATCTACTAGGTTTCATTTTTGGCACCAAAATACATATATATTTTTAAATTCTATATGGTAGCACATATTTGTAAATCCAGCTCTTGGATAAAGGCAGGATGATCTGGAGTTCAAGGTTATCCTCAGGTACACAGAAAGCTAGAAGTCTCTCTGGACTACATGGGATCCTGTCTTTAAAAAAGATGGGGCTGGAGAGAATGGCTCAGAGGTTTTAAGAGCACTGGTTGCTGTTACAGAAGACCCGAGTTTGGTTCCCAGCACACACATGGCAGCTAACAACCATCCACAACTCCAGTTCCAAGAGATTCAACTCCTCTTTCTGGCTTCCATAGGCATTGCACAACATGGGTGCACATACACACATGCAGGCAAAACACTCATATATACAAAATAAAAATGAATAAAAAAACATAAACACATATGGAGTGAACTTTGACAATAAAGTAATATTTCTTAGGCTTTATTTGGGGGAGTCGGGAAGGTTAAAAACAAAAGCTGGCCAAATGAAGCAAGCCTAGAAGTTAAAGAGATACATACCCACAATTAAGCATTGTTGGAACTGTGAAGTGATTCATATTCCTATAATTAGGTCAACCCAAAAGGGTGAGATAAAAAAATCTGTTCAGAGCCGGGTGGTAGCACACATCTTTAATCCCGGCACTTGGGAGGCAGAGGCAGTTGGATCTCTGTAAGTTCAAGGCCAGCCTGGTTTACATACTGAGTTCCAGGTCAATTGGGGCTACAGGGAGACCCTGTCTCAAAAAAGAAAAAAACAAAAACAAAACAAAAATCTCTTCAGAAGAAAATATAACCTCTGATCAGAGGAAATACACAGACAAATGTACAGAACATCATCCAAGTGTAAAGCAACTCACTAATAATGCATCCAAAAACTGGGCATGGTGGTGCACACCTTTAATCCCAGCACTTGGGAGGCAGAGGCAGGCAGATCTCTATGACTTCAAGGCCAGCCTGGTCTACATATTGAGTTCCAGGTCAGCTGGGGTACAGAGATACCCCCAAAGCATCTAATAATGATAATACATTCAAAAGTAGTAATAAACCTGAAATCTACCAGAATAGGGCTCTGCCAAAATGGTCCACATACAGTTGTATGTGGTGTGGCTCCATGTGGGGAAGGACAAGGGGGAGAAAAGGAACAATTACTAGTGTGTGCCTTGTAGATCTGATGGTTTTAGTTCTCAGTTCTGAGAAGAAACACAAACCAAACAAAGCAGAAGGAGATTTTAGCTAAAAATTATAAACTATTTTCTAGCCCCCTTTAACTAAAATATATTTAAGATATTTTCCTTAGGGAAAAGACGGTACATAAATTAAATTAAACATTGCAATGAAATTGCAATGAAAGCAATTTATCTAGATGAAGAGAAATTACACTAAGCAAAGCAAAACTTTGGCAGTACTTCATTTATTACATTTAAAAATATAAACAACTTTTGGGGCTAGAGAGATGGCTCAGTGGTTAAGAGCACTGACTGCTTTTACAGAGGACCTGGGTTCGAATCCCAGCACCCACTCAGCAGCTAACAACCATCCATAACTCCAGTTCCAGGGGATCCGACACCCTCTTCTGACCTCCACAGACATTGCATGACATGGGTGCACTCACATACATGCAGGCAGTGCACTCATACACATAAAAAAAAAATAAAATATTAGAAATATATGTATTAAAAACAACTTTTAAAAAATATTTTATTGTTTTTTATTTTATGCATACGTGTGTGTTGCGTGCATGTAGGTAAGTGCACCCGTGTCGTACAATGCCCCTGGAACTGGAGTTATGGACAGTTGTTAGCTGCCATGTGGGTGCCAGGATTCGAACCCAGGTCTTCTGCAAGAACAGTCAGTGTTCTTAACCATGGAGCCATCTCTCCAGCCCTAAAAACAACTTTTAAGCCAGGTGTGGTGGGGCATGTCTTTATTCCCAGCACTCAGGAGGCAGACAGGTGGATCTCTGTAAGTTTGAGGCCAGCGTGGTCTATAAAGTGAGCTCCAGGCCAGCAGGCTATAGGGAGACCCTGTCTCTAAAAGACCAATAAATAAATAAATTTAATAAGTAGCTTTTGCTTTAGAACTTCCATTTCTAGATGGACATTCCACAGAAATTCTCAAACATATGCATAAAGCCATAGTAAATAAGATGCTTAAAGAAGCTATTGAAGCTGGGCATGGTGGCGTATGCCTTTAATCCCAGCACTTGGGAGGGAGAGGCAGGTGGATCTCTGTGAG